CACTTTTGGATACTAGTACTTTTGAAAGTAGATTATTTGTTTGATTGAGAAAATTGGAATATTGTTTTTTTTATCAAATTAATATGGATTTTTTAAAGAATTTTGTAATAAGTGTTAGTAACAATAGCAATCAATAATTTGTAAATTATGTGCAGGATATGTAATCCGGGATATGCACACATTGTGCCAATCCTGTATGTATCCTGGAGTCAGGATTCATACAGGATTGGCACACTGCGAGCGTATCCTGTATGAATCCAGGAGGCAGGATTTATACTGCATTCCTACATTTGCAAATCCTGTATAAATCTGACACAGGATATGTACAGATTATGTACATTGTGTGCCAATCCTGTATGTATCCAGACATCAGGATTCATACAGGATTGGCACACTGCGAGCGTATCCTGTATGAATCCAGATGCAGGATTCATACTTGATTCCTACTCGCGCCAATCCTGTATAAATCCTGACACAGGATATGTACAGGATATGTACATTCGATGCCAATCCGGTATGTATCCAGGCGTCAGGATTCATACAGGTTTGGCACACTGGGTGCATATCCTGTATGTATCCTGACGTCAGGATTCGTTGTATTCGTACACATTTTTGCTGTGTTAATTTTACCAATCAAAAAATGACGTAGGACAACGAATGCTGTATAATTGACAACGTTGTATGTGGGTTGAATGTGTTGTAAAATCGTGATCGAAGTGTCTTTCTATCTATCGTATAGTTAAACTAATGTTCTATCATCGAAATCAAGGCTTTAATTTTACCGATCAAAATATGACACAGGACAACGGATGCTGTATAAATGACAACGTTAAATGTGGGTTAAATGTGCTGTAGAAACGGGATTACACCGGTATTCCATATGATTCATCATCACAAGAGCTTAATATAATACATGCACAGAATTAGCGACGAATAGGTCCTGTGAAATTAGAACCATTGAAGCGACGGTTACGTCAGCCATTTGTGACAACGGTATCTGACTTTACCTTTGTCAGGGTGTTCCGGAGTGATTATGGGCCCACCAACTGGCAAAATTGTAAACCGATACTGTAAACCTTGAAAGTACTGTTGACTGAGATCGTACAGTGTATATGAAGTAAATCATGCAATGTATTTGTCATGATAGCATTCCTATTTTAGACCAAAAAAGTATAAGCAGCATATCGAACCTCCATTGTGTATCCGTCAGCGACATGTTCATACAAGATACATTCATGTGGTGAGACTGCGTGATTTATGGTAGTCAACAACTATTTATAATTAATAGAAGCTCATAGAAAATAGCTCCTCTTCAATAATCTCCAGCTTTTTTGACTAACAGAAAGGGCTCTATTTAGTGGAAATGTCATTGATAATGCGCTTTACATTGTGAGGTTGACATACATGGTCCAAGTAATTTGGTGTCAGTATACTGTCTTTGTGGCGAAGTTGAGTCTCTATATCTTTTGCAAAACATGAAAACAAATATAGTTCAAAATATGAATTTATTTAAGAAATGTTTAAGTCCAAAAATAGTATTTCAATCAGTTACTTACAGTTATTGGTTTTCCAGAGTCCACATAACGAGGTTCTGAGATTTCAATGTCAAAAATGCCTCTTTTATTTCCTAATTTTGAAGTGGGCAGAGCCTAAATAAGAGGTCTTATCCAATAAAATATCTAGAAATCTCATTTACGAAAGTTGGCCGAAAATGTTTAATTTTGTAAAAAGTCAATAAATAATTGTGATGATTTTCTGCCCACGGAATTTAAATATTTACCGAAAGTTTGAGAATTTGGCAGATTTTGGTGAGAAAGGAATGTCTAGACAAAACCTCAGAGCCTCGTCTCATGAGCTCTGGATATATAATCTAATTATCTGATTTAGTTCATTATCTAATTTATGTCCGAAACACATATGTATACGTCAATTTTCACCCTAAAAATTATACAATTATTCGTAAAATGTGATGTAGAATATAAAGGTATAAACATTTGCAAAGTATACAGCAGTATTGATGTTTTGGTCAGTTGTACTCCAGGTCGTTAGGTTTAATCGCTTTTTACTTTGTTTACCCGGAATTTGCAGAATTCACGATGATGCCAAAAAACTATCGAAACTTATAAACATCCTAACAAAACATTACAAAAGTTCACATCAGTTGATTTCATATATCATTGTCTGTCACTCAAGAATAATCCGTTCATTTGATTGGTTCTAGAAATATACTCCTCAAAAAAAGTTAAGGACCAGTGGTTTTCCTCATAGGTTTACATGTTAACCCCCATATTTGTTTGAACGACTATATTCTAAGCGTGGAACAAAAGAAATCCCAATAAAGAAAATAAATCTGTATCTTGATTCTATTCCCTATAAAGTCCGCAACATTTCAATGTTATATCTCCATTACATTGGGTCAAAATTTGATGTAAAAATTGATGAATTTCATGACATTAAACAAAAATGGCAGACCCCATGTTAAACAAATGGGGCATGGTTGGGTTACCATAAGTCATATGAGGAACGATCCATCCATCCGATTGCTTTCAAAATTGAAATTGTAAGAGATAATTAAATTTGCTAAATTGTCCACTCAACAAAAATATGTTTTAATCGTCCAGGCTTTACAAAAGTTAATGGTTTCAAATTCAATATTTTTTTAATGATCCTCTTATTGAAATAACACAGGTGGTTCAGTGAGGTGGTCAAAATTACATTAACGCTCCGTATGGCTAATTTTAACAACATAGGCGAGACATTTAGCATGTAAAATGTAAAATCATTCAATTTTCTCCTTAGAAAGTATTTTCAATAAATGTTTTACTGAATAGATATTCCCAAATCTGAGTTGCCCCCAAGCCACCATTCCCCATTTGTTTAACATGGGATCTGCCATTTTTGTTAAATTTCATGAAATTCATCAATTTTGACATCAAATTTTGACCCAATGTAATGGAGATATAACATTGAAACGTTGCGGACTTTATAGGGAATAGAATCAAGATACAGATTTATTTACTTTATTGGGATTTCTTTTGTTCCCCGCTTAGAAAATAGTCGTTCAAACAAATATGGGGGTTAACATGTAAACCTATGAGGAAAACCACTGGTCCTTAACTTTTTTTGAGGAGTATATTTCATGCCTAGAAACTGCTCTAATATGATGATAAAACATAGGAAATTTAACAGTTGATATGGTGAAATATCATACTGAGTTCAAAGATCCCCAAAACAACTGTTATAATACAAATAAAAACTAATGAAAATAACGCAATAATGATAAATATGAGTAACTGAAAAAGATCATTATGACATCAACTGATGTAAAATGAAATAAGTAGACTGACCATCGTGGTCAACTATGACATCGTCACATCTATATATATTGTATGACAATAATTACTGCATCTTTTTCCTTGTCTTGTAATTGCTGTCATCCTCCCACGCACGCAAGTCAAGAAGCATGCCTCAATTAGCAGAAAACCATTCGATGATTAATTAAGTGATAATTTGTCAAAAATATGTAACTATTAAAAAATTCCGTCTTCACTTAATACCTTATAAATATATCACATTAACTAAGGTTACTATAGTAACACATATGTCGTTCTATTGGGAGAATAAATGTGTCACTTTTGAAAGTAACAATCCCACTCATTTAATCATGGCATTGGAAACTATTATTTGTAAAAGAGTCATCTTCTCGGCATAATAAATCATTCAATTCGCAGCATATCGCCTAATTTTTGCCAGGTTCGGAAACTTAAATGTCGGAAGTAGTATTTTCAAAATGTTATCCGACGGTAAGTTTCTTGTCATTAGGAAAAATAAAAGTAGACAAATGATAAGATTTGGCCATTCGGCAAACTAACCAATTGGAATTAATACCGATAATTATACAGTATTTGTAAATGTACAAATAATGAAAACTGAACACCAAATAGGCAAAATGCAGAATTGATTTTATATAAATTATTCTATATGAGGTCCAGGATATTGGGATTATCCCGAAACCAATATAATATATCTGTACGAGGGTCGTAGGTAATTAATTATCATTAGAGAGATTTCGCACATAAGTGAAAGTACAACTTATACGTATACGTATAGTTTAAAGGGTCATGTCGAACTATTATATTTACTAAAATCAATTTGAAATTGTACTTAATGGAACATAACTATTCCCGATACAGAAAGCTCCATCAACCAGAGACTGTGAATGCACTGTCATCTGCACGTGTAGATTATGCACATTATAATTAAATGCTTGATTCCGTGTCCTAGTAGTTGTAGTGTATTCTAAACACGATCCTTTAAGTGATTCATGATCCTTTCAAGTGAGTCATTACATAAACAAGGTGATTATTTCAAAGTTTTCATGATCAGTATAAGTTCAATGAACTTACAAAATTGTATATACACGTAGGTGATAAACGTTACAGTTGGATCTACATATAAAGCTTTACCGACATGTGTGTGGAACAATTGACCGCAAGCATTTTCTAAATTAATCAGCTGAGTAGGAACAGTATCCAATCAAATACTTTAACCAATCAAACCAGTAGGTTCTAGCAATTCCTGGAAACGACCCATTCAGTAGCTCAACAAATGACATACAGGGTGTTTCATAACTAGCATCTCCAAAAAGTCAATTTGAGAAGAGATGGGTCTATATGTATGTACTATATATGAGCCTTTTTTATTCTAGACAAACACATTTGGATCAACTAAACATGCTACAATTCAAGAAAGTACAAAAGGCATCCCTTTGACCTTTTTATTACAGTCCGAGAAGACCTTTCCTGACGAAGTACCCACATTATGAAACACCTTGTACGTCTTCTTATAAGTATAAGTATACGTTATAAGTTGTATTTTACATATGTGCGAAATCTCTCTAATATTACCTAAATACTTTTTATACTTTGAACGTTTTTAGAGGTTGGATGATTTATGCTATAGATTCGTGACGTTACAACTACAACCGAACATCGCAAAATGTGTTAGCCAATTTATAATTGGTTTGGAAAGATTTACTTTTATTCGATATATCACAAGGTTTTTCAAAATATATACAGAAAAATGTGTGAACAACTGTTTTTTGTCATGGTGAAAAAAACAATTGTCAAGTCTCTTCCCAGGAAATGTCCCATGCTATGCAAGCTTTGGATTGTCGGGTGCATTTTTTGATTAATATTAAACTAATCTAATCATCATCCTCATTTCTTTAAATGAGTAGAACCTTACATTTGGGTCACCAATCGGTGTTGGCCAATCCTGCCAAACTATGCATTTAAATTCCGAAACGCATTTGGATGAAGACATATAAGGTCCAAATATATTAGACTTTGAGCAGCTTGAAAACCACCATGCCCCCGACCTCAATGTGGCACACGATCCAAAACGGTTAGAATCATGGTCTCTGTCTATCGTAGAAAACTGATCACCATTATCCTGCGCCAAGCTATGACCTGCGGTTCCTGAATAGTTTCCAATACTAAGTCTAAAGTTATCATCCTCTGGCCCTATGTTGAAATCATCATATTCCGCATATTTGGTAACACTACCTTGATCTGGCCAAGTAGTTAGCTCAATACGAAGTTTGTAGCTCCCTTTACTTGAAATGGATCTGAGATTATTAAGGCCTAAGAAGTATTCTCCGTCTACCTGACCAAATCCGCTTTTGTAATCAGTCCAATTTCTATTGAAATCGACCGAACCATCAAACCTGTTGGCGATCACTAACGAGCCGTTGATACATTGGGCTTCAACTGTGTCTTCTGTTGTTTCAATTTCTACCTTGCCAGTAATGCCATTAATACAGGCTGTATTCCCTTGTCGTTCTGTGGTACCTAAACATAAGTGACGCTTCAATGATTAATTCTATAAAGAACAGGGTGTGTAATTGGTTTTCTTTTAACATTATTGGATAACAAGACGCTCAGTGAAAAGTTTCGCACTTTGGATCATGTGCAAGATGGCCACCACATAATTTAGCCAGCATGCCAAAAACTTAGTCAGATGTTGGAACTAGTCTGTTCTTGCATCTGTAAAATTTCAAGTTGAACGGAATTTTGATGACAAGATTCATGAAAATATTCAAATTGGACGATTTATGAAATAATTCAAAATGGCTGCCATATTATACAGCCAGCATATCCAAATCCTAAACAGATCTTGGCACTAGTCTGCTCTTGCATCTGTTAACATTTAAAGTTGAATGGATAAGCAGGTTTCCTTGGATTTTGATGACAATATCTAATTTATGTGGCGCCCGATTGCCCACTCACATCGATCAGCACAAGAAGACGACATTACAGCACGTGCGATAATTTGTAAGTGGTTTTGGCTTTTGCAAACATGTCAACCATTTAGAGGCTGACGGTAATTCCGGTTATACGGTTTCGGTACGGAATTGAGCATTTACCGGTATTGAAATTATTAACCGGTTAACCGACGATAATCCCCGGGGAAATAAAAAACACGTCGTTTTTTTAATTATTTCGTTTAATTTCCACTTTCACGATGAGTACATTTACATAGACATTTAGATGTCCATGTTTGGTAGTTCAGGTGTGATTTCCATGTTTGGCAGTTCAGGTGTGATGTCCATGTTTGGCAGTTCGGGTGTAGTAGCATGCTCAGGCTCAGATTTGATTGTAGTTATGTTTGGCAGTTCCGGTGTAGTTGTAGTGTCAACGTCAGATCCAGAAACTGAATTATGTTTGTAATAGTCATTTACGAACAACAAGGCATTGACAACCTCAGGTTGAAGTCGTGCCCGTTTAGAAGTGATGGTGTTGCCAGTTGCACTGAACTGGCGTTCACTTGACACGGATGACGCAGGAATAGCATGATATGTTTCAGCCGAACTCGCCACATCAGGATATTTTCCTCCGTTTACTTTCCAGAACTCAAGACAGTCAATACAATCTATTTTACCTACCCCACCCCCATGTATAATGCACGTCGATTGCTATTGATACAGTTGAGAAATGGTTTGAAATGTGTAATACATTTAATTTAAAACTAAAAACACATCTTGATTCGTAAGATAGTTACAGCCGTACATATATATACTATTTCGTGAAGTTCAGCAGTATGGGTTCAAATCGGTCTTGCACCATGCATATAGACTTGAGAAGCTACGGAGAGAGTTAGGAACAAAGTGGGGGTGGCAGAGCATTGGCATTTTATCGTACATATTTTTACCGGTACTTCGGTAACGGTACGGTTATTAGCGTGACGGTTACCGGTACTGGTTTTCAGTACCGTTGCGACCTCTACAACCATTTATGAAAAATGTAAACACACAAACATTCCTACCAATGAGTATATGTATCATCAATATGTATCAATTTATCAAATTCGCAAGACTGCGTTTAGTGCATTCCTTCATATGTGAGGGGACCTTATGGCTTTGTTTCACTTGCATTTGAAATCTGAATATCATAATATTGATTTTTGAAGTTTCAAAAGGTCGTCAAAGAAATTTTGATAAATATGGAGAACCTTTTTGTCGACTTAGCTTATATACCTGGTGAAGCTGATGTTACTGGTGTAGCTGATGTAGCTGTGGTAGCTGATGTAGTCGGTGTAGCTGATGTAGCCGCTGTAGCTGGTGTAGCTGATGTCGCTGGTGTAGCTGATGTAGCTGGGGTAGCTGATGTAGCTGGGGTAGCTGATGTAGCTGGTGTAGCTGATGTAGTCGGTGTAGCTGATGTAGCTGGTGTAGCTGGTGTAGCTGATGTAGCTAGGGTAGCTGATGTAGCCGCCGTAGCTGATGTAGCTGGGGTAGCTGATGTAGCTGGTGTAGCTGATGTCGCTGGTGTAGCTGATGTAGCTGGTGTAGCTGATTCAGATTCTTGAAAGTGCACACAAAACTCGCCTCTGCAACCTTTAGCTACCCACAGGGTCCCTGTGCTGTAATCGAAGTCCCATTTGTCAATCATCGTGCATTGTGTCCTAGAATGAATAGCGAATAAAGTATTTTTCAATATTTTGTCATCTCTCTCGCTTTCTCGCTCTCTCCAATTGAGAAGGGAGACAATACATTGGGGTTATATAACATCACACGTTCGCGTACAAGTTCTCTTTACCTCTTGACTACCTGGAGTGACGAGATTTCTCGTCTCCTCAGAAATGACCTTGAAACCCAGAGTGATGAGAAAATCCGTCACAAATTTTTTTTACTAAAATTGCTCTTATTTGAACAATTTTCATCCAATTTACTTTAAAATTGTTTTTTAGAGCCTGGACTTCAAGAGGTTAAACACGTTTAGCTTAATAGGCGAGTAGGCCAAAGAAATAAATTGTGAGTTTAATAGTTCAACTGACCCTATGGGAAAATTTGGTATCATAGCAAAGCTCAGAGAATTGTCTTTGTCGTGTGATAAATAATTTGTGTTGGAATAGGTGACGTTGTCATGGAAACGGGCGTTGAACAAAATATATCCTTAATAAGAATAAAAAGTACAGCACCGTTGCAAGGGATATCTGGTTAAGTCAATGTGCAACTTTGAAACAATGAAAATTGAGGAATTGAAAGAATTTTAGTTTATCTTCAACATTTAACTCAAAATTGTACATATTCTACTCTTTTTTGATTATTGTGATGTCATAATGGTCTATTTTGAATGAAAAACAGTTGGTCTCATATGAAATTATTAACACCATTAGATTGTGTAACCTCACTATTAACTGATGATCCTATAATATAAACATGATCGTACCTTGATACCTGAGTCTTGAGTGTTACGTCTTCCATAGACATGGATGCCAAGAATGGCCTTTTGTCGAACACAGTACAAGTGACATTCCTCCATCTTTTACTTGAGCAGGGAAAGCAATACTCCCCTAGTATTGAAGTATAAATATCATAGTGATTATTAAAGAACCAATAAGAAAGCTGTAGGTTATCTCTAGTATACAAAACGTTTTGGTTGCCCCTATTTAATAAACAATTCTACATCAACATTTCGAATAATAAAAAAATTTTACGACAACACTAAAAATGATGAAATTGTGTCAAATCTTCCATATCAAAACGCCTATTACATGCTCGTGAAACGTCATTTTTTATGGTAAAGCCTTCCTAATGTGTTTAAAATGGAAATTTGGAAAAGTATTTAAAAATATTTTATATAACTGCTTTTGTTAACTTAAAACAACCCCCCCCCAAAAAAAAGAAATATTTTAAAATTAAGATAAACCTTTTATTTCATTAACATGATACTTTTTTTTAAATCAACCAAACTTCTCTTTGTACAATTACAATATTATTACCACCTTGCCTGGCCAGTTCCAGGGGTTTTAGTGCTAGTTTAGAAGGCATTCATTTTACTACATCGACCTGAGAAATGTGTGACGTCATAGTGGTGGTCCATATGGACCGGTCTAGAATATATTCTGGACTAATAAATAATACTAATAACGTCATTTCTGCGAGCAATATTGTAAAATATTGGACCTTGGGCCTTCGGCACTCGGTCCAATATTTCACTATATTGCCCTTAGAAATGACATTGTTGTACTATTGATAGCCCTAAACACGTCGTGTTTATGTCGTTTTGTTCCACTGAGGTTCGGGTAGATGTTTTATTTCATGCCGAGCATATGATACCAATAACAAAAGGAGTGTCCGATGTGTTTTCTAATACGATATAGAAAAAAGTATTAATATATTTTTCAAATGTTAATGCTACCATCCAAAAGATGACCATTAAATTGACGATGTGTAAAATTTTGAATGTTTTGATTACTGGTTTAAGAGAAATGCATGTCCACAAAGTTAGTCATATCGATACCACCCCTTTGACTGAATACAGACTAAACGAATTGTTATTCTCACTTTTCAACACAACGCATTTGCGTCTAATCTAACCTTGCTCTTACGCCACTGGATGTAATACTCTAGTATATAAATTTATAATGAAATATTTAAAATAGTATCGTATACATGATTGATACCACTATTATTAGTCGAGGGTCAAACTTTTTCTTACCTCGACTACAACGACTACCATTTGTCCCGGTTGGGCATAAGCATTTAAAATTCCCACCAAATGTGTTTATACACACGGCTGCCTCTCCATGACATGGAGCTGAGGAACATGCGTTCTCTACAAACAAAAGATAATATATTAAAAAATATTATGAATTGTAATTGATACTGTCCATTTATACTCGAATTGACTAATTTAATAGACGATTTAATCTTATTTTAGTTGGAACTTAGAGGTTAAAGGACTGATTTCTTGCTGAACAGAAAATTGTAAATGTTTGAATTTTTTAGCACTAAAATAGCCTGCGATACGACATCACTACAAACGACAAGCACACACTGATCTAAAACAGATTAGAAGAAAACTGCCAATATGAGATAGGGCATGGGCAAAGGGTTGGGATTTTTTCAATATTATATTTTATCTTAAAGACATGCTATTGAGACTTCTCCGTGGCATTTTTTCCTTATTCCTTTTTGTTTTGAATTTTTTACACCATAGCATTAACTAACTACTCAATATGCAACTTTTCACCACGTAGAATTGTAAAATATTAAGTTTGAAAATTCCATTTTTATAATGGAGCTCAATGGGAAAAACAACATTATTTGAATTATTTTCAAACGTAGCGGTGCGATTTTCTTGAAATTGACAGATATAATAAATATTGGTGAAATGAAATGTTTGAAGAAAAATGAAGAAAATTCACCGTCCTGGTAACGCAAAATATGGAAAAATGTGAAATAATCATAAAAACCTGTAAAAATAGATTGAAGGGGTGATATTCAATTTTAATGTGCCTTTCACTACTACAGAGTAACCATAGTTTTGGTAATGGTTCACTAATTTTAAAAGCATATCTTCCAGCATGTGTATCAAGCACAAGTAATACAATTATATAAACCTTGACGGGGATCCTCGGCGCATGTGGGGTACCTTTTTCAACGTTTGGTATGGCAATGGACCCATATTTTAGGATTTGGTATGGGAATGCCCGGAAATTTCTGACTTCTGAGGTATGTCAATGGTCGGACGTTTGCTCTTCTGGTATGAGAATGGTCGTTGTAGATACGTTACCTAACATCCGTGGTATGGCATTGGTCCAGTAGTTGCAAATTTGAAGTTGTTTTGGATCGTTTCCCGAAGTATCTTCTTTTCCAGGGCCTTCTTCAACTTTTGAATTTTAGCCCTTTCCCCGGGAAATGAGGACCAATCATAGGCTTTGATGAAGTCTCGCGAGATTTTTCGTGATTTCAATACAAAACTTGCCGCCAAGAAAAATGGACGCTCGACTCGATTCGATTCATTTATGACCCCAACTACAGTATGGCATTTGTCCTTGATTTGAGGTATGGCGATTGGTCCTGTATTTGCACATTTGTATGACATTGATCCTATATTTCATTTACTTTGAATTAAGGTATGGCATTGGTCCCATATTTGGACATTTGTTATGGCATTGGTCCTACATTTTGACATTTGGTATGACATTGGTCCCATAATTGGACATTTGGTATGGCATTGGTCCTATATTTGGACATTTGGTATGGCATTGGTCCTATATTTGGACATTTGGTATGGCCTTTGGGCGTTATTTTGGTTGGTATGGAAACATATTGAAATTTGACAGATTGGTATGGGAACATATTGATATTTGAGGCTTCAGCCTAGGACCCCCGTCGAGTTTTATATACAGTGAACCCCCCGGGAATCGATCATATCACATACTAGTTCGTACTATCAAATCGATCTATTATGATGCATATTAAACAATACAGCAGTAGATCTTCAAATTAAAGAATTGAGCTTAATTGAAAAATAAATAAATTGCTTAATATTTCGGTATGCCTAATTTAGCAGCTGTGGTCACTAGAGACAAAACTTGACACTAAATGATCACTCGAAATAAACGATTTGAATTTTTCATATTTTCTTCTTTTGGTAATACATCCATTCGTGAAAATTGGCATTCAAAGCTTGTCAATGCAATCATGGTGTTTCCCCCCTCTGGATCTGACCCTTAAAATACTTTTCAGGGGGAATAGTTTGTCCACCTGTAGGTGTAGCACCTTTTTCTGGCCATATTTTCCTAAAGCCAATTGGGGATTTTCCAAAATTCAAATCCCAATATTTTTGGAACTAGGCAAAAGAAAAAAAAAACATCCCTTCTTATTTTGAAGATAATCATATTATTGTAAGATGCTAGGAATATTGGCTTTATTACTTTAGAACTGTTCTGCAGGGGGTCTTTTGAAGATTGATAGATTAACATGGGGCTCAATATAGGTTTTTTATACAACTTCACGGCTAAATATATTAAAAATAAGAAATTTTTAGAAATGTGCCTGTTTGATTTCTTTTAAGTCAATATATCAACTATAGAAATCTACTTAATATTAGAAAATTTCATAGTAAACTTTTTGAGAAAAGGACACTTTATTAAAGCCATATTGACAGCGGTTTATAATGGCAGCCATTTGGGGATTTTCCAAAATTCAAATGCCAATATCTTTGGAACTAGGCAAAAGAAAAAAAACAACCCTTCTTATTTTGAAGATAATCATGTTATTGTAAGATACTATGAATATGGGGTTTATTACTTTAGAACTGCTCTGCAGGGGATATTTTGAAGATTGATGAATTAACATAGAGCTCAATGTAAATGGGCAAGATTTTTGAGGCCTGGGAGGATTTTCCACACAACTTCGTTAGATATCAAAAATATATGTACTAAAAATGCTTTGGTCAAATAATTGTGCTTTATATATATAGCATGTGCAATTCTATGATTTTATTGACCTAACTGACTGCACTAATTTGAAAAATCAATATGATGATATCAAATGTCATGTAATGTATAGAGTACTATTTAAGACAAATGTAAATCATAAGGTAAATAAATTCATATATAACGTAATAATTGGTGCAATAGAAATTGAAAGAAAAATTTAAAAAAATTATCTGATGGAATGTGTAGTTTGTAAAAAATGCTGAGGAACTAGAACACCTTTTTTAGAATGCGCAAATTTAAAAACAGCCAAGGATAATTTAATTATACCTCTGACATATATATGCAACCTCTATCTTTCAACAGCAACATTTCCAGACTTACTAAAAAAGCAAAGCTCAAGCCTACATGTATATTTAAAAAGGAGGGTGAAACTAAATTCAATAACTACAGACCAATTTCCCTATTATCAGTATTCTCAAAAGTGTTGGAGCGAGTAATGGCAAATCGACTTATAGATTTTCTTGAAAGATATAATAATATCTTCTGTGAACAGCAATTTGGCTTAAGAAAAAATATATCTACATATATTACCAGCTTCTAAAAAAACATTAATCCAGTCAATTGAAAAGAACGATCTTAATATTGCTATTTTCATTGACTTGTCTAAAGCATTTGATACGGTTAATCATGAAATATTTCTTCAAGAATTATACTATTATGGAATCAGGGGAAATGCACATAAGTGGTTCATTAGCTATCTTTCAAACTGAAACGTTCAAATCAAAATTCATGATCTTTCATCCACACAATTAAAAGAATCTGAAATAAAAATGCTAAATATTAAAATTAGAAATAAACCCACTGAGAGAATTTCAAAGAACAGACGATTCCTCTCCACAATTTAAGAAAATAAAGATACTTAAACTAGAAGATATTTATAAGCTTAATGTTGGTACTTTTGTATTAAATTGTCTCAAACGACCTAAATAACTTCCTCAAACTTTATTCTATGACTACTTCATATCAAATCCTCAAACACATGGTCAAGAGACACGTTATATATTCAATCTTAGAGCTAATCAATTTAAATCTACATTTGGACAAAGACACATTAAATACATAGGAAAAACAACATGGAATGAATTACCTGAAACTTTTAAACAATTGAATTCTAGAAATAAATTTAAGTCAGATTTGAAAAAGTATTATCTTGACAAGTATTAAATTGATCTGTAATACATTTAGCTATATGTGATTATATATATGTATATTTCTTTCTCTTCTTTTACCTTTCTCCTAACTTTCTATCGTTTAAAACAGTTTTATATCTTGTCATCCTGATTAATACAATTATGTTATATCATCATATGTAACTATATACACCCGCACGGGTGTCAGTTGCCTGTACAATGTGCGTTGATATAATTGATGAATAAACAACTATGCAAACTGTAAATTCGATAATGAATGGGACAATTTGGAAATAACTAATTTATTTGAAAGACATAAAATGCGTTTCTACTTTAGAGGAGATAGCTTATTAGAAAAAATGATAGAGATTAATGGTAAAATTGCTATTATTAAACGGAAATATGGTTAAAAAGATGCCTATAATTTTTTAATTAAGAACATATATTTAGATTATAAAAGTATAATAGTACTACCTGACATAGATGTGTAAAATAGTTTGATGCAAGAATTATGTTTTTGTTTCCCCAGATGGGGGCTCATTTTACCTCATTGAAAATCATCCAATTTCAAATGTTGTTTCAATGTTCACAATATTTCTGTGAAGTAGATTATAACAATATATAAATGCTTTCCTTTGATATATTTATCTTGGCTTCCAGCAGCCTGGTTTAATGGAGTTTGTAATATAAGAATAATGACATGAATTGAATTGAATATTGAAAATCCTTTTTCCAAGTCCAATCTATTTTGTGACATAAGAAGCATTTGATCGCTACCCAGTGATTAGAAGTCCATGGTGGGATCGTGTATGAATTGTTCCAAAACCACTGAAAATCAGGGTTTCTATGAAAAAACCAATTGAACTACGTTATCACAATAAATTGATTAGGCATTTTTTAATCAAATTGAGGTTAAAATTAGTCATGATTGGTACCAAAAGAAGACACGCATAATGTAAAGGTATTACTTTTCTGAGAATGAGGGCTAATATGACATATAGAGGCAGACATATAAACATCTTTTTCATGAATTTCATTACTTTGAGATTGTAAAATATGTGAAAGGTGACGTCACAATCAAAGAACTTTCAAAATTTCTCCAATATTGAAGATAAGTCGCAAAATGGTATATCTTCTCCAGACTAATTAAATTCCTTTTTTGGTATGTAACACATGCATGATCTGTGTCCCATTTTATATTGTCCACCTTCTATATTACTTGATTGATCTATTATGTTTTAACTTACCATTTCCAGGCCAAGTACAATTATCAGCATTTGGAACATCTGAAAATAAATGTGGCAATTAGCAAAGTTGTTAGCAATGTTTAAAGGTTTCCAATCGATAATATATTTGGGTTTGCTTCTCTTTTGATCCCTTACCTTCACTACAGTTTTTGCCTTGTTTGTTTGGTGGACAAATGCACTGGTAACCACCGTTCCAGGGAATGGAAATACCAGTATTGCAAAGGGAATCTGCAAAACAAGTGCCGACCCCGTTATTTGACAATTATAGTAGATATATAAATTTTATAAATACACAATATACGGGATGGGCCAAAAAACAATACCCAAGTTTAAAGATGAATTATTTATATGATGTAACTTAACCCTAGGTGAAAAGGTGAAAACTAGAATTAATATAAATTAAAAATTGAAAAAAAAAACATATACATGAGAATTTTTAAATAGTCAACATTATAGCAATTTAATTTCTTGATCTCCATTCGTTTACATTTCAAAGTATAATACTTTAATTTGCAATTCAAAGCATGGTCTATTTCAAGTTACAGCATTACCTGAGGCTGCGGTCAAAGCGTGAACCACCAACACTATTACAACCGGATTTATGAGCGCCATCTTTCGATCACACTTTCTTCTATGCCTTATCACAAATCTGGAAAAGCAATATAAGTTAGAGTAAGTATGCTTATAATCGTCTCCATACGTTTTAAAACCATGGGTCTTCATTACTTTATTACTTTTAGTCTTTTATATTGTAATGATTTTCTTAAATTTCCAAATGACATTTTTATGTTTCGACAGTCATAATATGAAATACATGTAAGGTTAATATTTCAAAAATTGATCCATGGTTTCTCATCAAAGAGATGGTTTTTGATGCAGTAGTATTATCCCTTTGGTGAATAACTTCTTTATATCCACTTCCTCTTATAAAAGAAGATAACAATAACTGGAATTGTAAATTGAACAAAGTGCATTTCTTCAGAAATCTGAGGAAAGAGTTAAATGTGTAGCCGAGTAAGTAGCTGAATAAGTAACTGAGAACATTTGAAAGTAGCTGTGAAGCTTAGTAAGTATCTAAGCAGGTAGCTGAGCAACACCCCAGTCACATTTGTCGTACAGCGGCCGCACGGCGACCGCAGATCAATTAAATCAGTGGATTTCTGCGGTGAGCATAGGAAAACTACGCTCGCCTTGCGGCCTCCGTACGGCGCATCCAGCTTTTTACAGGCCGCAGGGTCGCCGTAGAAATTATAACTCGGAGTTATAATATTTGTTCATTTCTGAGGTGTCCCTGTAGAAATCAACTGGCTCAACAATATTGAATCATTATTTGTCAATGTTTCACGATCACTTTTCATTTGAAATTACATCCTAGCACTATGAATAACATTTATAAATTGTCCCGATGTAAATAAGTGAAAAAAAAGTATTATTTATCAACAGAAATTTAAAATTCACCGTGCGGCTGCCGTGGGAAATGTGACTGTAAAAGTATGAGAGCGCAGAAGTTCTACGGCGAGAGTAGAAAAGCTACTGGCCGCAGAAATGATACGCACGGCGGCCGTGGGAAATGTGACTGGGGTGTAAGTAGCTTTAACCCATGACTTCACATAGGGTTATTATATTTATTTTTCGAAATATCAAAACGTCATAGAATCACAACCTGATTGCAGATTCAGAATCTTAAGAAAATCCTAAAATGTTGATACCCCACACGTTGAATTTGGAAAAGCTTTTTTGTTGGCCTACTTTTGAGACACTGATATCTCAAAACTGGCGCGTACTTCATGAGATCAGCTACATGAAAAACCAATGTCGATGCCATACTTCAAAGCTACCCCCCCCCCCCATAGATCGATATGGTTAAACAACATGGCGAAGGTGAGGCAATCATCGCGCTGTAGGCAAACCTGCATACATCGCCAAAAGTTGTCTATGACTTGACTACATACCTTAATAGCAGTTATTGGTTAAATGACACAAGTTAGAGGTTTTCAATTGTCCTGGAGTCATTCCAAACACTCTATCTTCGGTAGATCGATCATGTACGATTAGCAATTATATATCGCATCATTTGGAGAATAAAATTCTAATTCTCCATGTAATCTAACTAGGCATTTCAAAAGATCATACTATTTGAAAAGGTTTTGAAGCCAAATCGCAGATTACACGTTTGACCTTTTCTATTCAATACGCCTATCATTATGTTAAACTGTGACAATTTTCCATATTTTAGAAATGGTCGAAGTAGGACACCGCATGCTGTTTTTGGCATAAAAACTATAATTGATCAGGGCATGATAATCGATAGACAAAATTATTTGAAAACCACATTTAATTATGCTTTATCAGGTTGATGCTCAAGAATCTAGCCACGTTTTTTGGATTTGATTGGATGACATTAAACCTAGAATGTCCGATTATGGTGCGTGTTTCTTGGGCAGTTTGATTGCTTATATCTACGTTCGAGTCCGATTCTGAAGTTTTTCGTAAATTTCTGCTGTAAAAAATCATGATAGGGCAATTACGGAAAATATAAAAGTTAAGAATCGCTGTCCAAACTTGCTACCCGTCGGCCAAGTTCACCTTTTTTCATAAAATCGTATTATTTATTTATGAACCACCACCATGTAGTACTGAATCAGCCAATCAAATCACATGAAATAATAATAATTATTTGCGAATAAGGTGTATTTTAAATTCAATGCTCTTAATCAGATTCATCCTAATTGCATCTAAACAATTTCTATGGGTTTTGTGTAATGAGTTGATTTTTCCTCCTGTATGAATTGTTATGTTACTACGTCTTCTACGTACAATAAAATAAAACCCGCAAGAAAAATGACAATCATTTGACCAATAAGTCAACTTAGTTTCACTTCTATTCTTCAACGCCCATTTGTATGGTTTTATCTAACTATATAAAGCATTCCATAACAAAAATATTTTATGATAGAATACTAACATACTCGATCTACTGATAAATACAATGTTAACAATACTCACGTAAAGTCGAGCGTATTTGTTGCCGCTTCCTGTCAACCGCAATGAAAATGTAACTAGATTCAGTTGATTTATATCCAGTTTGGTGAATTCCTGGATGAATTCAACCACAACGTATAATTGAGACAATAAACTTGCCAAATGAATATCTCTATACCATCGAATTGGAAAATGTGCTATCGCCGAAATCACGACACGATGGCATGGTTGCAATCCCAGGGTGCATCATTGTGCATGAATGTGCATCATTCCGTATGATTTTTATCTTCTAATCCAAATCCAATTTCTTGCCCAACTTCAATGGAATCACTGTGATGATAATGAGAAATGAGAAATAGAATATACTAATGTCTGCAACCTTTTTAAAACACTAAGTTGCAAGCGGGGACGAGTAATTTTCTAGAGTATTAGAAACAAGGTAACTATATAATCAATATTTTATGAATTTCATTTTTATTGGCATCGAGTTCAAACTATCATAACTTTTCCCCTCTACCTCCAATCACTTGAGTTTTACGCCAAAAAGCTATACATTGGGATCTGGTATCCAAAAAGTTTTCTCATACATAAAGGCTTCTATCATGTTATTGGGTACAGTAAAAACTAAGGTCTCATATTAAAGGTCATTATAAATTCTCGAGGAAGGTCTCGAAAATGGTAAGTCAAATGGGGTCAAAAGTAGGTCAAAGTATTATAGGGGAGATTTTTTTTTGAAAAATAGATGTTATCACGATTGCGGATTTACAAAGGCGCTTTTCCAAAACTCCTAGAATCCTAGTCACTGAAAACGGCCTATAGATCGTTAGGCGCCTTTGGAGTGTAGTGTAATACAGATCGGTTTTTGTAAAACGCCTTACCCGGCGAACATTAATGTTATTATGAATGTCTCTAATTAGTTGTATTAGTTGAAACAAAAGGTTAAAACTGTTGCTTAATCCGTCCATTTCCTGGTAATGTTTTCCTAACTGCTGATATGATCAGAATCACCTTGATTACAGTTAATGTTTAAGAATTGTTTTAGATTTTATGAAATATAATCTTTACTTCATCATCGAGTTGTGCCACAACCAGGCCTTGTGTTTGACAAACTCGCTTTTAAAATGGGCCATATATTGCCGAAAATATTTGAGCCAAAGTATTCCAAAGCCTAAGCCAAAAGGACGGTTTTCCAGATTACATTCTCACTCCCCTTGCTAATGTCTAAGTCCATCCCTTGTTCTTCAAGCTTTGAAAAATAGTATTGGATAACTGATCTCGATTAACTTGAAATGATTACGTTTTTGTTGTTATTTTACCCCTGTTGTTCACATGAGGGGGGGGAAGAATAGCACCATTAGCTAGCAGAAAAAACAGCTTTAAAATGCTTTTTGTTTGCAGTTTCTAGCTCAATTTTGAAGGAAGTTACATAAAAAAAAAATTGTAAAATAACAAAACAAAATTTAAAAACATTTTTTGGCTCGCTAATACCATGATCGCCCCTCCCCGACCGACTGAAAACCGGTTTTTATTTTTGGCTATTGCACCTGACAGAAAGTTGGCTATGCCCAAGCATGATAGTAAAGCATCAATGTGAAATATACTGTTTGCTAAATTTTGATAAAGTTTTGGACGATTACCTTGATTATACATCCATAAAGATATATATTCTTACATAGTATATTTTGCACATTCACTCCATTCACTGTTTTGTTCAAAATTGTATTCAATTTTGAACAAAATACTCAATCGGCCGGGCGCCGTAGTGAAAATCGGGGCAAATGTGACCAAGGCATAACACATCCAAAATTGATTTGTATATTCACAAAGTTAAAACAAGTGATCAATCGTTTCAAATGCAGTATGACAAAATTCGCACATCGGCAATTGTATTACATTATGTTTAAAAAGATCATTGTTTGTATATAAAATGCAATTTATGTTTAAATTGAAAAGACCTTTGTTTAGAATACGTTAAAATGTAATGATAATATGTATAGTAAAAAGTCCAGTCTTCTTCGTTTAATTCATATTTTATACTAAGCTTTCCTTTCGCTGTTGGTTGTTCAACAGTGTGTGACAATAAAATAGAATACAATAATTTGAATGTACATTTGTTAAACTGAAATATTTTTTTCCATGTACAATATCAAAATTGCAACTCTGCCGGCGCCCGTTCGATGTCTAAAAATCGGCCGATGAGTGGCGATCATCGCCCGGCGCCCGTACGATGCCCGGGCTCGCCGGTTGATTTTGAACAAAATACTCATCGGCCGGGCGCCGTAGTGAAAATCGGAGCCTATATGACCAAGGCATAAGATGTACCCTATTTTATGCAATGATGTTTATAGACAGAGTTATATATATAGTTATATATTTTGTATTTAACAATTATTGGGATGTACGTTTTTGACAATAGTAGTGCTATTACACAAATCCAAAATCCCACACCCAGTCTGGAAGAGTGAATGCTTTTTATTAAGTCTTTCCTCTCCTGTAGATCAGTAATGACCTTTCTCCAATCACCATCCTTTTTCTCAAATTCATTGTCTGTTGAATCAGAGGATCCATTGGCCAGATCTCGACCAATCTTCCGCGCCATCTTGTAGTATAATATTCCGTTTTCAAGCTGTTAATATGAAGTTTTTATTGTTGCACCAAAACATATATGGAATTAAATGTGATATTTATAATGCCGATGGGGCGTATTAACAGACAGTTAAGATGTTGATTAAATACTGATTTATCGAGGGAGGTATACTTTGTCAAGTTAATTTTTGGTTCGAAATGAAGAATTAATTACATTGATGTACATGTATTTCCTTGCGTTTTCATCCTTGGTTATATTTTCTGAAAGCTAAAGATAATACAACCAGGCCTCATAATATAACCTGAAAACAAGATAGGGGGGGGGCAATCTTTGTACATAACTGAAAGATATCGCAATGTGGGGAAGGAGTTCACATTTGAAAAATTACATGTCACTATTGAGGAGAGCATCAAGATTATGAACAAACAAAGGACAACCTCAATGACTCATATTTTAATCCCATGAGAAATGCATAAAACTCACTTTGTAGTTGTTTTTAGCTGCCCTCCTTATTGCTCGCCTTTTATTGGCAGGTGAACCATGTGGGTAACATTTTGATGTTGCGTATCTAAGTATGTTTTCTATGTCCACCCTTTTTCTTGTTGCATCCATGATGGCTCTCGCATAAATGAGTGAAGCATGGACAATTGCAAAAACCATAAGATTTATGAGTTAAACATTGAAAGTTATATGAATTACACTATCGAATAAGGTTCACCCAAAACCAAGGGACTCTAATTTTAGAATCATTTCATTCTTTCAAGAAATGAAATGGGCGTGATGATTCCCTTGGTGTTATAACTCTAGTAAAGATTCAATTCAGTGATTCGAGTGCGATTATGCACGACAATATGCTCACATATTCCAATAGTTATTGTATTACCAATGGGACTATACCACCCAGTATTTATAGTCTCTTGACAAATGTAAGTAGACAACATAGTCTCCCTGGACATCTATAACTAGAAAAATAAGGATAAGTTGTCTTGTGGACCGAAGCAACCAGAAAATGTAGTCCGCATGGACACGTACATCTTGAAAATTAAGAATAAGTTGTCTCAGGGACAGAATTACGTAAAAATGATAGTCTCCTTTACGTGAATTAATATTAAAAATCATCACAGCAAATTGAGGAAACGAATATACCAATGCAGTTTAGTTCCATTTTATGCAGAATATAGTAAAGAAATAAAAAAAAATAAGAAGAGAGTGGGAGTCGATCCACACCATAGACAATTAGTAAGAAGACTGTTCTAACCACTACACTATAGGTGATTGGATGCCATCAGTGTTTTTGAATTCATTAATATAAGATATCAGATAAGAATATATTATAGTACTACTATAGTACGACATCTATACATTAAAAATAAAAATAACAGATAGGACCAAAATCTAACCGGACAATATATTCTGTCACTGTCAACGTATTTATAGTCCGCCAGAAATATAGTTCAGACACCTTGCTTGTCGCGTGCCAAGTACTTCAGGGTGTTTGACTGAGTGGTCCATGACTCATACAGAAGGCTGCAGTGTGTACTTGCATGTCTATATATAGCTACACATGAAATAATTCACAGGGCTCCTTCTAAGAGGGATTTTTGGGTCTGTCTTACATGATTTCTGCTTCCCCTACCCTTTCTTTTTATAGTTTTAGTTCTTGAACCGATATCAAGATGGCATTCAATCAGAAGAGTGTTTTATGCATGATTTTGAAAGATTTTTTGGCCAGGGGGGGGTTCGCCCGAATCCTGCGAACCAACCCCCCCCCCCCCTGGCTACGGTTCTGGCTACACATGAAATAATTCACAGGGCTCCTTCTAAGAGGGATTTTTGGGTCTGTCTTACATGATTTCTGCTTCCCCTACCCTTTCTTTTTATAGTTTTAGTTCTTGAACCGATATAAAGATGGCATTCAATCAGAAGACTGTTTTATGCATGATTTTGAAAGAATTTTTGGCCAGGGGGGGGGGTTCGCCCGAATCCTGCGAACCAACCCCCCCCCCCCTGTCTACGGGCCTGGCTACACATGAAATAATTCACAGGGCTCCTTCTAAGAGGGATTTTTGGGTCTGTCTTACATGATTTCTGCTTCCCCTACCCTTTCTTTTTATAGTTTTAGTTCTTGAACCGATATAAAGATGGCATTCAATCAGAAGAGTGTTTTATGCATGATTTTGAAAGATTTTTTGGCCAGGGGGGGGGGGGTCGCCCGAATCCTGCGAACCAACCCCCCCCCCCCCCTGGCTACGGTTCTGGCTACACATGAAATAATTCACAGGGCTCCTTCTAAGAGGGATTTTTGGGTCTGTCTTACATGATTTCTGCTTCCCCTACCCTTTCTTTTTATAGTTTTAGTACTTGAACCGATATAAAGATGGCATTCAATCAGAAGAGTGTTTTATGCATGATTTTGAAAGAATTTTTGGCCAGGGGGGGGGGTTCGCCCGAATCCTGCGAACCAACCCCCCCCCCCCCCCCCCCCCTGGCTACGGGCCTGGCTACACATGAAATAATTCACAGGGCTCCTTCTAAGAGGGATTTTTGGGTCTGTCTTACATGATTTCTGCTTCCCCTACCCTTTCTTTTTATAGTTTTAGTTCTTGAACCGATATAAAGATGGCATTCAATCAGAAGAGTGTTTTAATCGCGAGCTCTTCTTACGACCCCTATTTATCATCGTTTTGACCAATCATTCAAGGTGCTGATGGAAATCAGGGAATGATAGTAAGTAAACCCACTAGAATTCTAACAGATACACGGGCGCAGCCAGGGGATGCGATGGGTTCGATCGCAACCCCCGCCGCCCCCCCCCCCCCAAAAAAAAAAGAAAGTTGAAAACAGTTAACCAATTCTGGTTTAAAATGCTTGGAATGCACCATATACATTGTAAATCTTTTTAAAAATTCGGGATGAACCTTTTACCCCCCCCCCTGTTTTAAAGGGGGGCTCGTTTCGCTCGCAGTTTGCTGGCTACGCCCCTGGGATACATTATTTGACAGTATTGTGTCCTTGCAAACTTTTCGTGCCACATGCGACTGGGTCTCTTATTATGATTTGTATTTAATGACTAATTGCAATGAGATCGAAGAAACGTTCGCCTTCACGTTTTCCTTACCCCTCGCTCTGGAATTCTGTATCTTCCCACATCAACCCCTCCCCGACCAGGGTCTACTTGTAAATGTGATGCTAACTGAACAATCTCGACCAGGATTAATGCGATCGAGAGCCTCGGCGTCTTGTACTATAATACTCTAATTTTTCCGTCTTCAAATAAGCACGTACACGTACCATTGAGCAGGAGAAGGGGCTCGGGGCAACACCTTAAAAAACCAGCTCCCATGCTATCTAAATTCAATGGTTTGACTACCACACAGAGTTGTATAATAAAGGAAACCATCAATATAACGAGAAAAGCCAAATTAAGTACCGTGCCAACAAATGTAGATTTACTTCTAAATAGATTTTTTTAAATATAAAAAAGTAAAAAATAAACATAAACAAAACCAGCGCATGCACCCATTGTCCACAAAACACCACACGATGCACGACAGCAATAATACACGCGTATTCTTTTTATAATACATAATTAGTTTCTTTTTGTAATATAAAATATGGATCAGATAAAGTTGATAAAGAGATTAAAACATACAGGCATCTTTTTCAACAATGATTAATTAGACATCCTGTCTCCAATTGCAATAGACATACACTCCCGTTAATAAGTTTGAAAAACGAGAGTTTTCATTGGATGGCATATTAAAGGCCCTCGGTAATGTTTGAATCGTTATTGTGTTCCTTTTAGTTGCAAAAGTTTGGAAATAATTGACAAATTTGATGATTTTTTAAAAAATCGCCAGATGTTAACAGTCTTTGATAACTGATCTAAAATTCATCTCCCGGTTCTCAAACTTATAGAGGGGAGTGTAGCTGGCGTCAATTAGAATTTCAAACCATAAATTGAATTTTATATCCAAGTATTGTATTCGCAAACCTAGAAACGCAATTAAAACTGCACCTAGCGTCATAGTTTACAACTAGGACAAGTCGCATGCTAAGCTATACTTTTTATTGTTTCAAAATAATGTTCTTTTAATTGCAACTTTTATTGTTTCACGTATCTTATCATGAACTAAACTGGACTCCATTCACTTTAATCAAGGTATTGCAATGTTAGAACCGACTTAATTTTATGAGTAGTTATTAATTTAGTAGCATAAAATCGTAAACCTAAAAAGCGAAAATAGAATTTGATTTTTTACATTATCAACTATCTGCAGTACATGTATTTTAAAAGGTTACAGGGAACAGAGCCTGAGTAAGTTTTCAAAAAATTGTGACAATTATACGTTTTGCTTGCGTCAATCCTGGCTATTCAGAGTTCTCATGTTATTTAAGGATTTAAGCCTTTGACTCAGATGCATTATGTGCTGAACCATTCCATTAAGATGCTATTTCCAAATCTTTGCATGACCACACAGCGGGAATGCAAAGTTTTGGAAACAACATCTGAATGGAATGGAGCAGCCACAATGCATTGAGTTTCGGGCTTAAATCCTTTTCACACATTGCAAAATATTTTCTACGAAATCATCTAAATGAACGAAATCACTAAAACAACAATTTTTGCAAGGGTCAAGTTGGCAAGTCATCAAATCCAATGTGAAACGTCCATTCATCACCATGACAACTGTTTAACTAGTGACCTTGAGTGTGTTATTGATTATTTCACACACTGTTCTATATGTAAAATACTGTGTTCGGATTGGCTGGAATCAAATACACCTTGCCTAGCAATGTATGTCTTCAGGATCATCCTTTGATTAATAGATCCGGGTGTCGCTCTTCAGATTATGATAGATTTCAACATTTCATTTCTGTCTATTTTATCAGATTATTGTAAAGAAAACGATGTCAGTATTTTGAAAAATTATCTTCCAGTGTTTTTCACTCTCTATTCCTTCAAATTCCTTGAAACAAATACGCAGGTTATGCCTGTAATGCGTGGCAAT